CCCCCCAAAATAAAATTTAAAAAAAGAAAAAGTCTAAATTTAAACAGGTAACAATCAGTCGTCCCACCCCCGTCACTTAAAAAAACCCAAAAACAAACAAACAGGAGAATATCTAAAAAATAAGCAAGAAACTGGAGTAACACAAGTAACAACAGTCTAAGCATGTCAGGAAGATGGAAAAAATAAACCTACTCAAATGTCTTCTATTTATTACTGTCAATGTTATTCCTGGATGTTATAATCTGGGCAACAGCATCAAAATTCTCCTTGGTAAGAAGCAGAGAGGAAAAACTAGTCACCGCAAGCCCTGATATATATATATATATTTCTAGTAGGTCATAAAATATATATATACCACAGCAAAAGAGAAAACGTGTTTCAGTTTCTTGCCTTACAATTCGAGGCTTTGAGTAAAAGTAAAAGTCAACATGTCATTTTTATTCTGAATCTGAAGCTACTGGACACACTGTCTGTCAATAGTCGTGCACATTTACCATCAATAGTCGTGCACATTTACCAGTTCAGCTGATGAGATACTGGTAAGTCCAGAAGTCTCGGTGGCAGTCGTCTAAGTTGTGCATGTCATGAAAATGGAAAACATAATAAACCTACTCAAATGTCCTATTTATTACTGTTAATGTAATTCCTGGATGTTTATAATCTGGCTCAACACAACACAGCATGTGAATGTAACAGTAACATTGTGTGAGTGTGTAGTAGTAAACCACTTCCCCACATCAATTCTGTACACCTTCCTCTCAACAAACCACAGCCGGTCTCTAAACTCGTTTGTGCCTTTCTGTATATGTACACATGATACAAAGATTCACTGTAAAGTTTAAAGATGTTTAGATATCTTTCTTGTACCTTTTGGCTGGAAAAAAAAAAAAGTTCTTACAAAGAATTACCTAAACATCATCAAAGTGGCACACCAAACTCAAGCCCACATAACTTCAAAAATCTCTGACGCAGATGTCAGTGTCAGTCGTAAATTTCTTCTATCTATACTTCCACAGCCCTACCTCCCTCCCTCCCTCCCTCCAGCCTTTTCTCAAAACTTTGGGACAAAACCAAATGGTCGCTTTTAAGCACAAGGGGACTATCCCGAAAAATGCTGTTTTAAGAAAATCAAAGGAAAAGTTTTTGCTCCTTGTTCCATTTCTTTAAAAGACAAGGAGAGTTTTCTGTATAACTAAACAAATATACACACCAATGAAAGAAACAAAATCTGGGTTAGCCCGCTTGTCCTTAAAAGCGACCAAATCAAAACATGCTGACCCCGCCCCCGAAATCTCACCCCCTAATCTTTTTATGTATAACTATGTACAAAAACAATATTGACAGCATTCAAGGACGTGGCAGCAGGTTCACCACAGGGGCCCGCCTGGCCATTCGCGAGTCACGAGAGGGTCGGTGAGATTAGCGTGCAGGTGACGCGAGGCTTGCACTCTCTGATCAAGTGCTACTTCCTTAACTTATTATTATAGTCCCATCTCCTGCACGTGGAACAAAACAAATGGAAATGGGTCGAGTTGTATAAATCCGGCGCAACAGTCAGCTCAATCACAGGCGGAGAACTAGTGAAAAGATAAAACTTTCCTAACTCGAGCACAATACATTATCATACTCTTGCTTTAAATGCTAGGAATTAGCAGTAATTAGTAGTAATTTGACTTGCAGTCAAACTTTCAGTAACATTTGATAACCCATCTTCATCTATGGTAGGCAGCCTTGCTCTTTACTTTTTTATCACTGAAGTTAAAACTAAAAAAAATACAAACGACCTAATAAACAAATTGCTACTGAAAACGTTACCAAATGAAATGAACATGATGCAGACGACTAATCCCCCCCCTCCCCCCACCTTTTTTTTTTCTTTGCCCTTTGACCCATCCATCAACAACTAACTAGGCAAAGGTAGAAACAGAAAAAAACAAACTTGACAGACAGCTCAGCACCAGGAACCAGGAATAGAAACACGAGTGAGCCGTTTGCAGGTCGGTCGGTCGGTAAGGTGGAGATGCAATGCCGTCATAGGTGACAGAAATACTGCCGCACACGACGGGGCACCACACGACACATATTTTGATATATATAATATATATATATTGAGATCTAAGGTCACACGCAAGATGAAACAAGGAAAGAGGAGAAGGAAATGGCGGTGGTGCATACAAAAGGGTGGGGGAGGCGTGTGTCCTTATGGGAGCGGAGTTACTGGTCCAGTACACAAGCAGTTGTTGTAATGGTTGATGTTTACCCCGCTCCATTCGCACAATTTTGATCATTTAGGGGGGGGGGGTGTGGCTGCTTCTACCCTGCTCGTCAGGGCAAGCACGTGCGTGCTGAGTGGAATACAACACCCCAACAGACAGACAGAGATGCTCGATAAAAAATTCTTGACCACTTTTTTAGTATCAAACTCACATATTTTGCGTGTGATGATGAAGAATCTAACAGCTGCATCATATAGATCTATATATATATATACGACAGTCCCTAACCTAAATCAAATCGACAAATGAAAAGTGGTTGAACCACTGCAGAGAAAAAAAAAAAAAAAAAAAAACAGAGAAAAGAACAGACAACGAGCTGTGCCTTTGATGTTAGATAAAAGCACACAATTTAATGAGACCAATGCTTTGTATTACCTAGAAATGTATACAAGCTAGACGTTGATTAACACTCCCATCAGTACAGCGCGCATTACTCAAATTTTGGAAAACCACAAGACGGCGAAACGAGTTCAAGTTGTCCATCCTGCTCAACCATAGTTTATAACACATCAGACTTTGCACCAAAAAATTACAGCGATGATGTCAACACCCCGGAATCTACGTTTTCCATACAATATATGAGTCAAGCAAGGTGGAATCAGGCATCCGTCAATTTTTTTTGTGCGAAGAGAAGTTGGTATCATCTTAAAGCTTGTTCATTTGTATTTGTCTTAGTTATAATGGACCCCCCCCCCTCTCCCCCACCGGAACAATGTGTTGAAACAAGTTGATATTGAAGGGAGGTGGCGTTCACCTGGCGTCAGAGGTTCTATTGGCAGAAAAATATCGATCTCTTTCACTTCCTTATTTTGACGAGCGCCTGATTTCACCACAACGTCACACATGATCTAGTTCTCCCTGAAAGGCTGTAATAATGGACATGAGACTCTATTCCTAAATTCAACAGTGGCAAGTTCTTTGCGGCGAGAATAAACAATCTGAAATAACGAAACTCCTGCTAGCGCTACGCCTACGACGTCGGGGCTGCAACATTGGCATGACATTTTTCAAGCCCTAATGAAAATTGTGAATAGCTACCTCGTCTCCAGGCTGCAAAAGTTGAAAAGTATTCACAGTTCAAGAAATGATTAACAATAATAATGTGAATGGAATAAACGTCTTTTTTTTTCTTTTCGTTTAAATGTGTCAACAACCTTCAAACAGAAACACTTATCATGACTTAGAGTTGACTAAATAACTGCTTTAAGAAGACAGAAGAAGAAGATGCATCAAGAGATATCGAAATATAATATAATATAATAAATACGAAGGCATGTACTCTGTTATTTAAAGTACAAAAGCTAAAAAAAAACACAAAAAAACTGCCCCCTAACCTTTCCAGTATATTTTGATACCCACTTCCAGCCTTCCACCTGCTACATATCACCCAAGAGTTTAAATAAAATGTAAAAAAAAAAGAAAAAAAAAAGAGGCATAATGGACAACAAACATGGCGAATAGCAAGAACACACGTGATTATTCCTGCTCGTAGTGACACCTCAAACTCTTTACACGAGACCTTTAACCTATGCTATTGTTATATCCACTGGTTTCTTTTCTACACACATAAAATTATAATTGGTGCCTTGGTAACACACAGTAGTACACATGTAACCACAATCTGACCCCATCAACCCCCCCCCCCCCTCCCTAAGAAAATCCCCTTCGTCAGGATAAAAAACAGTCTTACGGCTGAAAAAAAAAAACCCACAAAAAAATCCCCCCCCCCAAAAAAAAACAGTGAGTCGGAGAAACTGATGACAACAAAGTCTGTCCCACCGCGATATTGGAAACACGGCGAACGTGTTGAGTTAAAATATATATCACTGATTCCTGACAAAAAAGATGTATCGACGGTCGAGCCTGAAAGAGGAAGAGACTAAAAACAACGAGGAAGAAGAAAACAACAAAGAGGAAAATAAAGGGAATAACAAAACAAAAAAATAAAAAAATAAAGAGTACACAGCGAGAAGACAGGCAAACAGTCTGGATGATAACACTCATTCTCAAAGGAAACCCTCGTCAGCTTGCAGACCACACTACGCAACATTGTGGAAATTCTTCTTTTTTTTTTTTATTTGATAAAGGTCAGGTTCGAGGTGTTTTCTAGCAGCAGCATCATGAATGCTGCTGCTTTGTATCACTCGGCGTACTTGGTCGTCCATTCCTTGGCTAGCCTGTTGTACTCGCTGCGATTCGTTTTGAACGTGCGCGCAATATCTGGAACCAAGGGGTCATCCGGGTTTGGGTCTGTTAACAAGGAGCAAATGGACAAAAGCACTGCAAAAAGAAAAAAAGAAAACGGGGGGTTAGGGAAAACATTTTATTATTATGATGACTAACAAAGCATTACTAATTGTTTTAGTAAGCGTTTTACAGCACTTGCAACCCAATTACATCACACAAGTGCCGAAGATTAGACGTGTTACAAGAGAGTAACAAACACAAAAAAAGAAGAGGGGAGAGATGAGAACGATAGATGTTTGATAGGAAAGAAGGAGGAAACAACATCAGAGCACCTGCAAACGAAGTGTATTAGCATGATAAATCTTTTCATAAAAAGCAAGCATAAATCTATGGGAACCAGGTGATGTAGGCTTTTAATCTCTTCCTCTATTTACCTTCCTTCCGCATTGACCCAGAACCCAGCACGAGAGAAAAAGACTTCAAAACATAATGTTTCAGCATGCTCCTAACGTCAACTGTTACGCTGAAGTTTGTCAACAATAAAACGTGAAAGGTCTACTCTACATTGCAATAATAATAATACTGACCACTAAAAAAGTCAATGATCAGATTTTACATCAGCCACAAAGGAAGTAAAATTGTAAATAATAAAACATTAAAGCTCAACTCTATGTACTGCAATAATACTGGTCAATAATAAAACATTAAAGCTCAACTCTATGTACTGCAATAATACTGGTCAATAATAAAACATTAAAGCTCAACTCTATGTACTGCAATAATACTGGTCAATAATAAAACATTAAAGCTCAACTCTATGTACTGCAATAATACTGGTCAATAATAAAACATTAAAGCTCAACTCTATGTACTGCAATAATACTGGTCACTAAAAAAGTCAACCATCAGGTTTTGCATCAGTCACAAAGGACGTAAAATTGTGAATAACATTCCACTCTATTAATTTGCCAAAACAATTCCATATATCAGTAGTTTCCTTTCAACAAACTAAACTAAGTGAAAAAAAACCCCGCAAACAATTCGGAAAAACTTATGAAGAGGGCTTTCTGCCTCATCAAAATCGTACAGAGCTATACTTATTTATGGATTTTAAGAAATACCACGGTAGTTCCAAAAGTCCCCTTACTTCTTAAACAGCAATACGAAAACCTTTAAAATTACATATAAGTGAATAAGTCTCCTGACTTAAACTTAATGTTGATACGCATCCGTTTCAGTTCCCTACACAATTTTAAGTAAGTTGGGCCACACAAGCCATTTACACTTTTGCATATATTCTCTAACAACAACAACAACAAAAATCAGATCTGCAAATTATTTTGTCATTTGCCCATAACCTGATTTGAGTTTGAGAAAAGTTTTGTTTGAGTAAAAAGAAGCATATATCGACACACATTAAGGGTCATTTAGCCAAGGAAAAAAGTAAGTTGGACAGACAGAAACAACAGAAGGAAAGAAAAGAAGAACCTATCAGTTGTGTTTGAGTAAAGAGACACACATCAATATAAATGTAATAATGTTATATATAGTAGGTAGCGTAAACACGGCCTCGCGGGCACTCGCAGCCTTCCGACGGCGTGGTATCGGTAAAATCGTGGTAATTCCGATCGCTGTTTCTTTGCTCTTTCGTTGTAAAACACCAAATGCCGTACACCTTGTAAAAGTTCAGCTTTTCCTCGTTACAATGGTGTAAGTTGTTTATATGTCCGATTAATAGGAGCTTTAGAATCGCAGACGAAAGCGAAGCCCCTCGCGGTCGGAATGCGAGGTCGGCCGGTTGAAAAATTGACACGCGTGCATTCAAATGCTTCGCGGAACGAGGGATGATTAAATACCGTCTTTTCATTGGCGGATAACTATAGAGCTTTAAACGGGCTTTCCCCTGACATAAGTTAAGCCTTTGGCGTCTTTATAGAAAGCTTTTAAAAATACGGTCAAAATGTTTAAAGTATCCCTTTTTACACAAAATATGTATAATACCGACTTATAACAGGTATCAATTAAAAGATCAGTTCATTTTCTATTAGAATAAAGTTATTAACTTGGAATTATTTTTCATCAATCCTTCCGAGAGACTCGGAAAGCATATGACCCCGTACGCGGGGTACACTACAGTATAGAGCCGACTCGCTCGCCGCGGGGGCCAGTGCGCGCCGTCGGGTCAACACTCGGTGTTTTTGTCGAAATAACGACAGATAATTGTGTTTGAGGCGATAAAATACTGATTTGTAAAGATCTCAGAGTCTTGAAAAAAATTAGGCTCCATATATTTGTTACAGTGATTGTACTCTGTTAATGTGGAGATGTTTAGTGCACTTGGTACTTTTTTTTTTATTGTCTGTCAAACATGGGGTTGCAGCCAGTGACTGACTTTAACAAATTTGATCAAATTTTAAACAACTACAATTTTCTTAAAAATTGACGGAGAGGTTAAAGAATGGTACCAAAATGCTCAGTGGATATAGGCCTTTCAAATGGAACAGATAAATTTGGCATACAGCTAGTTTGAAAATTTAGTTTCTGGTACCTATATATAGTGCAGGTAAGTAGCAGGACAGATTGACAGAAACAACAGAGAAAAAAAAAAAAAAGAACTAAGACCTACCAGAGGTGCCCTCCAACCACCCATAACCAACCTAGTTTCAATTACGGTACCAACAACCTAAGTTTTATCGTCACAGAACCAATCAAGAGCACAAACGAAGCATGGTTCAAGCCATTTCGAACAAAAGATACTGAACAACCATTATTCCCAGACTCTATAATAATAGACTGTATTTATAGAGCGCTCTATCCCATACGACTATAAGCTCTTTTTTTTTCGGTAAGTGTTTTACGGCGCTCGCATCTGCAAACGGTCATATGAGCGCGCGGGACACACCAAACATTTTCAATTGGTAGGAAATTTTGAATTTTGCCCGGGTAGCAGCCGAAGCCTACTCTTATCGATTTTGGCCCACTAAGTGATCTTTAACGAGCGCAACTTGCACACAGGACCTCCGAGATTTTTCGTCCTTGTCAGAGAAGGCTAGGTGTAGATCTTTCCTACCAGAAGATCAGGGGTGTGGCTGAAAGACAACAGAAAAAAGGAGACAAGGAGAAGTAGAAAGGCTGCAGAAAGAATGAGGAACCCAGTGGAGGGGGCAAAGGAGGTGAGGGGGTGGGGGAAGAGAGTGGAGACCAAAGCAGACGACAGAATATTGCAAGATAGAAGGAAAGAAGGTGAAAAAAGACAATTTTAGAGAAGAAAATACTTCAATCGCTACCCAGATTAGAACCCGGGACCTTTGAATAAGAGGCGAACACCTTAATCTCTAAGCCATGAGAGCCCCCACTATAAATAAGCTCTTCTTGTTTTAGCAGAGGTTTTACGACACTCGCAACTGCAAAAGGTCAAATGAGCGCCAGAAGATTAGAGGTGTTACAAGAGAGTAACAAACATAAAAAAAGAAGTAAGGGAGATAAGGACGATAGATTTTTCATAGGAAAGAAGAAGCGGCAAACCACACTAGAGCACCCGCCAACCACCCACCCACTATAATAAGTTCCGAGTGCTTACCTTTTGATATAGTCAAAGCAGGCGACCACTGGCTTCGAAGGATATCCAAACAGATGCTGCCATTACTGTTTATATTTGGGTGGTAGATTTTTGTTGAGAAAGCAACCTGAGAAAAACCCCCCAACAAATACAAGCACTGTCATTTCATTATATTGGCCACTGAGGAAACAATAAACACGAGGTTTTCATTCTCAACTCATTTCCATACCACCACCACCCTTTCCCCTTTATTAAAAAACAAACAAAAACAAATGAAAAACAGAACAACTAAAAATGTGAGTTTTAAGAAAAACATGCACATTCTTTGACAACAATTACATAACACATGAAACCATTTCTGAACACAAGGTATTTACTAAACATCAAACAACTATTCAAAATACACAATCATGTCTGGATACAAATCTCATCAAATATCTCATCTGTACAGCTGGCACTGAAATCCGACAATTTAAGTTTAAGTATTTTCTGAAAAAAAAAAAAAAAGGCCCCCAATACTTTAAAACACATCTCTACATTCAAATGCTGTAGAGAATGCCTTGGGCCAGCAGCATAAAAAACCCTATGTGCATGGAAATGACGACAATAAACATTTCTCTGCAAAACATGAATACATTTTTAGAATAAAAAAATAATGTGGCTGCCAGCATTGTGTTTGTGTGACTGAGCGTGAGGTTTTGTTGTGCTGTGATCTCGCAATGCTGAGGGGTGGGGGGGGGGTGTCTTCCTTGCTCTGACCATTCCCTCATAAATCATAATTTTGTTTTGTGGCTCAATATCTCTTATATCTATTTTTTTTTAAAAATTATGTGTGAATTGAACTGTACTTCATAACATTGATTAAAGGCAAAAAAGATGTAATTTTTTTGGTAACTAGGAATTCTCAAGCTAAAGAAAATAAACAAAACTTTGGCAACTATTTCCTCACTAATTTTACCCCTGAAACCAAGCGACCCCCACCTCCCTTAATCACAAATATCTCTACTTTTGTATTCAAGACAAAAGGGTATTTTTTTCATGGAAAGCAAGACAGATGAACAAGTTTCAAGATGATACCACATGCCCAAAATTAAGTGCCCAAATCCACCACGTTGCGTCACAAATATTCGCCCTACCACGAGCCCTCTCACTGGACTGCTATTTTGACAGAATAACACCATCCACCCTCAACTACTTTTTTTGGGGGGGGGGGGGGGGGGGTAAATGTTTTACGGCGCTCCCAACTGCATAAGGTCATGTGAGCGCGCGGGACACACCTAATATTTTCAGTTGGTAGGAAATTTTGAATTTTGCCTGGGTGGCGGTCGAAGCCTACTCTTATCCATTTTAGACGACTAAAGGATCTTTAACGTGTGCAACTTGCACACGGGCCCTCCAAGACTTTCCGCCCTGGTCCGAGAAGGCCAGGTGTAGATCTTTCCTACCAGAAGATCAGGGGTGTGGCAGAAAGACAGCAGTAAGAAGGAGCCAAGGAGTAGCAGTAGAAAGGCTGCAGAAAGGGCCAGGAGCCCAGAGGAGACAAAGGAGTTGAGGGGGTTGGGGCAGATCGAGGAGACGAAAGCAGACGACAGAATATTGCCAGAGAGCAGGAAAGGAGGTGAAAGGAGACAATTTTAGAGAAGAAAATTTTCCGGAGATTCGAACCCGGGACCTTTGAATGAGAGGCGGACACCTTAACCTCTGGGCCACAAGAGCCCCACCCTCATCTACTGCCAAGCCAGCATACCTGACCACTGAAAACGTAAAAATGTGCCCACTAAAAAAATTAAAATAAATATAAAGTACTGAAAAACAGAAGAAAGAAGAAACGGGATGCACGGTGTACTCACTTTTGGGGGCTTGAAGGGATAATCTGATGGAAATGTTATTGTGAGGAAAAACACACCTCCTTGATATGGACTATCAGCCTGAAAGGACATTTTTTTACATATGTATTAGATTAATTATATGACATAAAGGCGAAGCATTCATTTCCCTCCAAATGAGTAAAGAAATCGACATGGAGCAGGCAAATGTACTTTACAATTTTGAAAATCAAATATTTCCGACTGCACAACAAAGATATATTTGAGACACACCTGTCTGGGCAAATCTCAACATTACAATAATCCTTAAACATAATAAAAATCCGTGGTAAAAAGAATAATTTTCCAAAAATATAGGTAGCTTTACCTTCAGGCATGGTACAGCCCTTTTAGTAAATTCATGGTGACCTATGTGAAAAGATTAGCTGGCTCATATACTTTCAACACGTGACATGCTTTCTACATTATACTGTCCCCCTCGTTTTATGCAAGAAAAATTCTGAAATTATGCAAACTGAGCCCAAAAATGTGAATTTATGCGATTCTGTTAATTTTAACAAAGAATGATAAAGGAAAATAATCAGAAATTATGCAAAAAATGATCAAATTTTGCTAAATTATGCGGGGTGCATAAAACCACGGGGACAGAATTATAACATGTCTTTCTCCTTGTGCTCATTGACAATGAAAAGATGAACGATAGAAAAGAAAGTAAAATAACACTGAAAGAATGTACTCTGTTTCACCTACATGTAACGCTGCACAACAAATGTCACACAAGACATGTTTACATAAAATTGTTTTTGTTTTAGTAAGAGTTTTACGGCACTTGCAACACAATAAGGTCATATAAGTGCCGAAGAGTAGAGGTGTTACAAGAGAGTAACAAACACAAAAAAGAAGGAGGGGAAATAAGGACAATAGATGTTGATAGGAAATAAGGACCAAACCACCAGAGCACCCGCCAACCACCCACTTACATTACATTAATTACACCTTAACGTATTTGCAAAAATATAACACCCCCCCCCCCAAAAAAAATAAATAAAAATAAATAAAAAATAAATGGGAAGCATTACTTACAGGCCCTAATATTGTTGCTTGCCATTGAAACACTGAAAAGAGAAAATAAAAATTAAACAGTCAGTGACGAAGAATACCAAAAGGACATGTGGTTATGACAGGGAGGCCACTGGGTTTTTATGAAAACATCTGAAAATTTGTGACGTTTCACATTTGTCAACAAAAAGACGGTTAAAAGACACAATATTTTTATATGGGTTTAAACAGAAAACAAATGCTTAAAATAATACTATAATTGTTATTTTCAAATCGGACGACCCAACAGCAAGAAATATTTAACATAGAACAGATTAGACATTGCTGAGGTTAAGTTTGGGTTTTAGTAAAACTATACTGCACTTGCAACAGAAATAGGTCAAACAACTCTTTAAGTGTAGAAGATTTGAGGTGTAACTTATGAGTGAGCAAAATACAAAGAAAAAAGAGGAGAGATAAGGATGAAAGATGTTTTTAGTTTAGTTTTTGTAAGAGTTTTACGGCACTTGCAACACAATAAGGTCATATAAGTGCCGAATATTAGAGGTGTTACAAGAGAGTAACAAACACAAAAAAGAAGGAGGCGAGATAAAGATGACAGATGTTTGATAGGAAAGAAGGAGCAAACCACACCAGAGCACCCGCCAACCACCCACTGAAAGATATTTGACAGGAAAGAAGGAGCAAACCACATCGAAGCGCGCCCCCCCTCCAACCACCCACAGATGTTGCTTATGATGCACAGTGGCCAACCACTTACAAATGAAGTATGTATAGCCTTAACAAAAGCATGGAGCTGGCACTTTCCAAACAACAAAGTCAACAAAAACGGTAAGATTAAGATTATGATCTTGTTATCTGCATGAACGACGGGCTCAAGAGCCTTCAAAATGCCTCTCTTGGCTGGTAGATATTCACTCAAATATTCCTCTTCTGTCTCCTCCGGGACCTTTTTATACATTATACCCCTACTTGCCTAGGATCACCTGTAAATTTCTCATTAAGTATCACCCTTACATGCCCAGAATAGCCTGTTCAGACTAGGCGTCTTTAGAAACAAAGTCTCCCTCTGACAAAACCCAGGGGGTCGAGATTTCGTTTTTATATAGTCATTGCATAATATTTCTTCTTTTGTTTGATACTGAAACTGAACTTTTACAGGACCAGCAGTTCTATTATAAGAGCCAGTCGAAGCCCAGTTTCCTTTATAATGACACTTCAAAGGCGGCCCAACGAGCTGAAAAGTGATACAATTGAGCTGGAACATGCAACGGCTCTAAACAAGAGAACAAGCAAATGTGAGGAATCGTGGTGAAATCAGGCGCTCGTCAAAATAATATTGAAATTGAAGAAACAACATTTTCCCCACCAGTGTGGCAATTTTTATTCCACCACGTCATGACACAAACGACGAATCAGCTTATATTACGGCCTGATCAGGATGATGATTAAAACAAAGAAAACGGTGGACCATAAAACAGTCAAAGCTGCTCTAACGGCCACCAGTCAAAATGCCCACTCGCCCCACCCCAAAACAACTTGTTGTGTAAAAAAGTTCTTTTTTCTTTTTATTCATATATATGAATATGACACTATCTAAGATGTCTGCTGTTTAAGACAACTCTGCTTTTTTCCTCGATTTTGTGTGTGTGTGTGCGTGTGTCCTGGACAATTTAGACTGTACTCACTGTCATCTCCCACAGGTCCAGCTGAACAGTTGGAGGGTGGATCTCGACCGAGGTCTTGAAGTTCCTAGGAGAAGAAAAAACGAAACAAAGCAAAATTAAGATAAAACCAAAGTCACAAATCTTATGACCTTATATATGCAGTTGCGAGCGCCGCAAAACATTACAACTAAAACAATACAATAGTCACAAATAAAAAATAAATATAATTTGTGATAAAGTGAAAAAAAACAAAAACACACAAAAATTCAAACACCACTAAAAACCACACACAATGGTTTGCAGCAATTTGCACAAAAAGCCCAAGCAACAACAAACTGATACCTTTGCATGGACTCCTCATCAACATCATGAGGTCCTTGCTTCAATTAATGATATATATCTTTACTGTACTAAAATTTGTCCTAACACAAAGCATGTAGAGATATCGATTGTTCAAGAAAGTGTTCTTGGTAGAGGAACAGTAGTACAACAAAGTGTTAGTGTTCTCAGTCTACTCACACAGAAAAAAGAAAAATATATACAGTGTACGGCTATATATATATATATATATATGTATATACCTTAACTTGAAATAATAATATAATAAAATAATAATAGCATTTGTATAGCGCATATCCCCGCTCAACAGATGCGCTTTACACTATATTATTACCCCAGCAGACTATAGAATGCTCCGAAACATTCTCAGCTTCCTGGGAAGCATACAGTGCAAGCAGCTGATTAAGCGCTCAAACACTAACAAACTGACAAGATCTTTCGCTGTCTATAGCCGGGTACCCATTGCCACCTGGGTGAAGTGGGGAAATTTCGTGTAAAGTGCCTTTCCCAAGAACACAACGTCGGGCCCCTGACGGGATTTGAACCCACGACCTTACGGTTGCGAGTCCGAGAGCCTAACCGCTAGGCCACCGACGCCACAAAATGACAATTTCACAATCAGAGCAGGTTGAAATCATAACACTCGAACAGCTGTAACATTTTTTTACCTGTCTCTACTCTATGGTTATCCATTATGTACCCGTAACTCTTCGAGTCTGGGTGCGGGTGAGTTATATTCGCACTTGAATCAAAAAGTCTTAAAATAGAAATTCATGCTTTGGTATTCTTTTAACTTTCCCTCTCGTTTCACACTTAGCTACTAGTTAGTCGTCCATTTTCTGTTGTGTATTGATATGCTGAACACGAATATTACTTCATTTCTGTCGCAAATATCAAAATAGTATGTGAAATATTTGATAGTTTTTAATCGTACCAGGTCACACTAAGCCTAATTGCGTAGTAATTTTCGCACTTCGAACCAAACTTTCGCACTTCGAACCAAACAGGGAGGTTTCACCCCCTGAAGTAAAATAAACAGGGGGGGAGGGAGGGGTTTCCTACAGGGGGGGTCCCCCTGTTTTAAGCCATGATTTGATGTTTTGCAGTTAGGTTTGGCATTTTCTTGAAAATTATTGATTTGTGACAGTTTTAGTGGCTGCATGAGATCTGCAGCAAAAAACACTGCAGTTTGACCACCAGAGCAGTACATCTGTGTGCGGGAGTGAAAGGAAAAATTTACCCCTTCTTTCTATGAGAATATTAATTAAGTAATTTCGAAAAATGTTTCGCAGCAGTTTACATGACTTATTTTTTTTACACTGCATTATAATGTCATTATATTTCATGTGTGGCATACACCCATTGCCAAGGATGACAAGACAAACTAATTTAAATTTAAAAGGTAGAAAAATGTCCTCTGATAACTCACTAACCAATAAAACAACAACTTCTCTAGGTGGTAATGTTCTAGAATCAAGCAGGAAGAGATTTATCTACAGTTAAAGGAAACTCAAAAGTCAAAAGGAGAATAGAGATCAACTACCTCCATGCTTTTCTTTGAGTTTGAGATACAATAATAATAGTTTGGGTTTTTTTTTACATGATGAAGCTATGTCAGCGAGTGCTTAGCACACCTCTCTGATTGGCCAAAATATAGATGACGCATTTCCGCCATCTATTTTTGTCATCTTCCGGGGCATCCCGTGCAGGTTGACTAGATCTCACCGTGGCAGGCTCACTTTGCCGCTTAGCGTGTGATGGGCTACGTCACTAGGTTTCATCGCTGACTGCTTAGGCTCTGCGTGCGCGCGCTTATGTGTGAGTGCGCCCGTGTGTACAACTTTGAGGAGAAGGTAAATTTATGGAACGAGAATTGCTGAGATTGTTTATAAAAGATACACAAATTAATACAAAAAACAAACAGTGAGATCTAGTCAACTGGCGAGGGAAACCCAAGAGTCTTGGGGGAAACCCTGGAAAATGACAAAAATAGTACTAAATAGATGGCAGAAATATGTCATCTCTATACTTGGGCCAATCAGAGAGCTGTGCTAGGTGCTCGCTGTAGCTTCATGTGTTTGTTGGTTGTTTTTTTGCCTCCATTGACTCTTCCTAATTATAAATGCAAATAAGGTAGTGATACTGACAAATGACGCAATATTTTCCTCATCATGATGAAACAGTAATTATCCGAACAACAGCAGACTACACTACTTTGTCTTTGTGACCTCCTAGCCTAGTTCCGGCGTTAATCACTTTGCCAACAATTAAAAGGGCAGTCCACCACCCGCAGGGTAACAATTTCACATCCCAATCCCACCCTGCCTCCACTGGTCAAAAAAAAAAAGCTACCTGGGGCAGGAAAGCCAGAGGAAGACAAAGAATAACATGGATATCAACAACTAAGAACATGGACTGGCCTTGATAGAATGTGCAACGGCACCTCACGACCGTGAAAGATGGAGGGTCATTTAAATCTTAAATAGGCCTACACATCAACCTTTGAGTCAGAGATGACACCTCCGGGTACCCAGATCCAGGTACCTGGACCTTAGTTTAGCATCACAACCATCTGTCTTTCCTCTCTTTCTTGCCCAATCTCACTCAAGGACAATCACAACTCTCTCCAGAATCTAGAGATTCTAGTTAGGGCCACCATGCCTGTAATAAAACAGGCTAGCCTATCACAGGAGACAAGATAACATTTTTTATAAAAAGCCCTTACTTATTACATCATGTGTGTAGGCCTATGATGGAACATGATATCACCAAACATAACAAACAGATTTATCATGTCCTGTGTCATCAATTCAGCAGCAATGATGAATATGATCATCAATTATTTCATGGCCTGGGGTGACAACTGATCAAAGTCAAAGGACTAGACTCTAGAAAAATCAGAACCCCAGAACCGTGTTAATGTTGGATTTCATTTATCCAATCAACTACAATGCACTCAGCTGTGTTAAAAGATGGCAGTCTCAGCAAAACCCTCCCCATCATCATTGTCAAAGAAAAAGGGCACTGGAGGCCAGTGGAAGGGAGGGGGGGGGGGGGGGCACTTTCTTTTTTCACCATTTTTCGCTCTTACCAGGCACATGCCATCCTTAATTTTTGCGTAAATCCTAGTCAAACTTTAACCTCCCCCTTCACAAATAGACAGAAACCTAACGTCCAAACTGGAAAAGTTTTCGGCATCTAAACACCACATGGTAATTCATCGAATCCGGAAGACCACAAATTTTATTTCGAGTTGTCAAGGAAGGGCTTGCGTGAGTGAGAGGAGGGAACTGGAACAAGCTAAGTCGTTTGCGATCGTGGGTGGTCATTCATCATAAACATTTTCCCCATATCGGTGTTATCCTATAAAGACGGTTCGAAGGTTAGTATCCTCACACAAACCTTTTGAATTCTTTTCATAGCCATTTTGAACAAAATATGGCGTGGGGTATTTCGCAGACCTGGGACTGTTCAGTAACCTCTCCCTCTGAACTAAAAATAATGCCTGTTGTAAACTTGAATAGAGATAGAGCTAACATTTCAGTACTGCGCATGCCCAAGAGGATTGTAACTTCCGCTGCTGTGACTGTATAAAAATAGGCTAAGTTTCGGTGCTCGTCATCACGTTGGGAAATTCCCTCTTTTGTCCTTAGGTTACCTTTCTTTTGCTTTACATTTTCTCCGAAGACTCGAAACTTGAAGTAAGATGGGTGGAGTTTAAAATCAGAATCGACGAAGCCTTTTTACTATTATTATTTCTTTTTTTAAAGAAAGTAACTTTGCAAAATGAACGTGATCCAAAAGTGCACGAGCAAATTTTGATAAAATATAATATTAGTTTTTATTTATTTCTTATCTCTCTGGGGTTTATATCAAGTTTTTAACTGCACAAAGACTTATGTACGTGTATAATATCTACCTTGGTCAATTACGTAAATTCCATCGCCATTGATTGTGGAAGGCAACAAAAGGAAACTATAGTTCTAACATTTTCTTTTTTTGGATAGATCATATATAATATCTAAAATACTCAAGAACTTCGAGAAACGTTTCCATTATCACCCCCCCCCCCAAAAAAAAAGACACAATAAAGTTGATCCGAATTGCTTTCACATTTTGGAGATCCTGCAAATAGATATTGAAACACTAGATATTAGGCCAACAGGCCAACTGGTATAGGCGACAGATATATAAACAAAAAGCTATAAGCGCATAATTATTCTCTCTCTCTCCCCCTAGTCTCTCTCGTCTCTCTCTCTCTCTCCCCCTAGTCTCTCTCGTCTCTCTCTCTCTCTCTCTCTC